GGCAGGGGAGGGGGAGCTCGTGTTGATTGCCGCTCCGCTCTGCAGCTCCGCGCCGCGCGGCGGGGGCAGTGCCAGTGGCAGTGCCAGACCGGCAGCCTGGGGTGACGTGCGTGCGGCGCGCAGTGCGAGCGGGCGTGACCCACGTGTGTGTATGTGTGTGTGCGAGTGAGTGCGTCGGTGTGTGTGTGTCAGTGCGTGTCCATCCAGTGCAACGACGGCGTCCTCTACCGGCGACCTCAGTGACAGCGACGAGGACGTCGAGGTGGTCGTGGATGCCTCCGTGGCGGTGAGCGAGCGCGCGCTGTCTGCCGGCGCGCTGGGCGGGCCGCAGCAGCACCTCGACGGCGGCCTCGACGGCCTCGACACGGCAGCCACCCTGGCGGCGCAGGCGGCCCACGCGGCCCACCAGGCGGCGGCGGCCCACCAGGCGGCCCACGCCGCGCACGCCGCCCACGCCGCGCACGCCGCGCACGCCATGGCCCTGGGGCTGGGCGGGGTAGGCGCCGTGGCCCACCAGGGCCTGGGGCCCTCCACGGCCGGCGTCAGCTCCGTGTCGGCGCTCTCCGTCGCGGCCGCCATGGCCGTGGCCGCGACGGCCAACGGCGGCGGCCCGGCGCCGTCCCCGGGCAGCGGCGGCGGCGCCCCCGGCCGCGTGCCGGCGCCGCCCCTCATGCCCAGCCCGCTCTTCGCCCTGCCCACGCTCAACTTCACCGTGACGCAGGTGGCGGCCGTGTGCGAGACGCTCGAGGAGAGCGGCGACATCGAGCGGCTGGCGCGCTTCCTCTGGTCGCTGCCCGTCGCGCACCCCAACATCGGCGAGCTCAACAAGAGCGAGGCGGTGCTGCGCGCTCGCGCCATTGTCGCCTTTCACAGCGGCCACTTCCGAGAGCTCTACTCGATCCTCGAGCACCACAAGTTCACCAAAGACTCGCACGGCAAGCTGCAGGCCATGTGGCTGGAGGCGCACTACCAGGAGGCGGAGAAGCTCCGCGGCCGGCCGCTCGGCCCCGTGGACAAGTACCGCGTGCGCAAGAAGTACCCGCTGCCGCGCACCATCTGGGACGGCGAGCAGAAGACGCACTGCTTCAAGGAGCGGACGCGCTCGCTGCTGCGCGAGTGGTACCTGCAGGACCCGTACCCCAACCCGACCAAGAAGCGCGAGCTGGCGCAGGCCACGGGCCTCACCCCAACCCAGGTGGGCAACTGGTTCAAGAACAGGCGGCAGCGCGACAGAGCGGCGGCGGCAAAGAACAGGTACGACTACCTACCACATATTTCGCATGCTAAAAATTGGCTTACTATAATATTCCTATTATGGGTCAAGAACAACTATAGGGGTATTTCGCTGAATAAAAACAAACGGAAGGATAATCATTCGGAATATGAAACTTCTGATATACTACAATCTTTACCGCACGAGCATGTATTGAAATACGCGGCATGTGTTTGCTATTCCCCACTACGTTTTGTCCATTCTTTGCATTTTTGCCTGGCCGTTTTCGATTCAGCGAATTATCCTTTTAGCTTCTCCGTAAGCGTCGAATTTAGTTTCATAACTCGTTGGCTTTCCTGGCGATACCCTACAGTTTGCTTGGTTTGTCCATAGAATATTGCGTGCCTATAGTAACACAATGAAGTTGTCGTGGAGTATTCTATCGAAACGATAGGCGATTGGGTGATAGACTAACAACGGATCAGACATTTAAAAATCGATGTGGTCGCTAGAATAATGTCTCTGGATGCATATGAATATTGTTTTGGAGGGAGGAGATTGTTCTGCACCCTCTTTCGTAGCACTCGATGGCCCGCCCAGCCTCACTGGTCGCTGGCTGGGCGCCAGGCTGCCCGATATCGGGTTCATTCTCCCGAGCTGTCTGCTGATCATCGGTAGACACGGCGCGGCGGTAAAAATAAGCCCCCTTGGCTCGGGTTTCGCCTTTCCAACGACTGTTTGATGATCGTTTTTGCATTCGTGTGTCATTAATGTGACGGCAATGTGTTAAATTTGGATGCGCGATAGTGAATCTTTTATAAACTGCCCCGTGTTTGACCGAAATAACGAAAACGCCACAGCCTCCGTTTTGACGGAAGCGCGCTGCTCCCAGCCGGGCCCGGCGTTGTGTGCGACACGTGATAGTTTCACTGTGTTTGCGCGGCGAGGTGGTGTGCGTGCGTTCGTTAGTTTGCGCGCGCATGTGTGTGAGTGTGTATATTTTTCTTGAATATAGTATTTGCATAGGCGGGGACATCCGGCGGCAAACAAACGCACTCATCGAGACATGGCTCTTGCAGTCTCGCTCTGATTATTTCATTCATTTTATTTTAGAAATGCATATACTGATTAATTTTCTGACTTCAGTACTAAACGTTGATGAACGCCAAGGTTTTTATTCTGATTTATTTTTCACGGTGCATATTGATACTCGTAAAAAGCGTTAGATTTTTTTTATCTTAAATCTTGATCACCGTTTGTGTGGGTGTGGACGTGGAAGGGTTATTCGGTCCGCCCGGATACGGACGGCGACGCTCATTTGGAGCGGAAGCGAGCCGCATCGGGTGTCGAAGGCGAGCGTTGTGTCTGCAACTTAGTATTGGCGAGGGCGAAAAAAAAAAAAAAAAGAGAGAACTCAGCCATCATTGATTGATCAGCAGCAAGCTCTGCCTTTGGCTTTCCTCGCCCGGCCCGGCGCGCGGATGAGTCTCCACCTCTCCGAGTCTACTCCGGATGGATGGTATTGGATGGGCCATGCACACCGTGGACGAGGCCAGGGAAATGCCCGTGTTCTTGGCAGGTATACATGAATGGCTTCGACAGATACGTAGAGAGGATCTTCTTCTCCCCTTGACCTTTTCCTTGAAATGCGCTCGATGTCGTTGGCTCACTTTGGTTTTCCGTGTAGCTTCTCTGGGCTCTTTTCCTATACTATTGAGCTTCTGCGTAAACGCCCTCGGCTGGAAAGTACCTGTGTGAGCCTTTGCTCGGGTATTAAAAATTGGTAATACAGACTCTGTCACAATTGTCCTTGTTCCGTCTTTTAGCGGGATAACCCACGCCACTCGTCCCATTGGGGAATCATAGCTGAAAGACAAAGTCTTCCTAGGAAAGAGCACAAATGCTCTTCAATTGCTGTTGAAATAATCCCTTTTAATTGCTTCAGAGGAAATATGTGCAGGTCATAGCGTCCCCGGTTACTGAGTACACACGGATGTGCAAGTGTGGGTGCCGCACTCGGCCGGGGACTGGACCACGCTCGCCTAGTCTGGGAAGTCCAAAGTGGGGCGACGGAGAATGAGGGGATTTGGAAATGCATGTGTAGCACAAGACGAGCTGGCAGCGGATGTCCGCGTCCACAGAAAAAAATACAAAAAAATACAAAAATACGGTCTGGTGTTGACTTTATACTTTGTTCGCGTTAAACACACGAACTCGACTTTCGTCATGTAGTGAAACAAAAGCATTGCAAGCTCCAAATGGTCTTTTATATCGGAGTTTTCGAGTGTTAATGCTAGTAAAGAGGCTTTGAAGTAAATAGTACCTTTGGACCGGTAGAAAATTCTGATGTTTCGAACTTGCTTTTCCAGTGCATTCTCTGCCCGAATAATTTTAATGCGCCCCGCGTTGTTTTGTGTGAACACATGTGCCCCGATTATATACATATGTGTGTGCGTGTGTGTATGTGTCTGTCTGTATGTCTGTGTGTATGTGTGTCTGTGTGTGTGAGAGAGAGACAGACAGACGGGCGGTGGCACAGCTTGGTGCTGCAGGGCGGGGGAATCCCTGAATGGTAATGGTCTCCACGTCCCCCTCCCCTGCGTAGCTGCGCGTCGCTCCCGTCGCACCTTCCCGACGTCTTTCTCAGCTCAATCGGCTGATGAGGTGCGAGAGATCATGTCGCCCAGCCGAGTCTTTTCTCACTCTTCTGGGAAGCGAGGGGAGCTGCTGTGGCCAGGCTTGCGGGCCAGGCTGTGGCTCTAAGCAGCATGCGCGCGACGAGTGGTGGTTCACTTTCCGAGGATTAGGGAACGGTGTATGTATGGCTTCCGCGTCATTCGTTTTCACGAAGGAGGAGAAGGACCCCGGAGGTCATTACCACCACCTTCGCCTGATCGCTTGCGAGCTTGTCGCAAAAATGAAGTACGGGAAAAAAAGAAGGAAGAAAAGTAGTGTGTGAAATAAGAGAGGAGGCGTGTTGCACGGAATTAAATTTTAAAATCGTTGAAGGCTGGTCTTTGTGTGTTCTCTACGCGGCGCCACGCGGCGCCGAGCGGACACGCGACCTCAACGGGAGTCAAACAATTGACATTGCACCCACGTGATTACTCTCTCTCTCTCTCTCTCTCGCTCTCTCGCTCTCTCGCTCTCTCGCTCTCTCGCTCTCTCGCTCTCTCGCTCTCTCTCTCTGTCTCTCTGTCTCTCTCTGTCTCTCTCTGTCTCTCTCTGTCTCTCTCTGAAAACGATACAGATCGTTGTATGAATACAGCCATCGTCTCCGCTTCAAGGGGTTCCTTTTGCCCATTTGCATGTGACAGCCCGGGGCGGTGCTCTGGAGCCGAACAGGCGACTCCTGGTGGAAGGACGCTGCGGGAGACGAGTAGCGACAACGGGGGTTGAGAGAGAGGGAAAGAGTGACAGAGAGCGAGAGAG